CAACGTTTGTGGGTTGGCACACAAGAGACTAGGGCATGGGAAGTCATAGACTTGGTATTAGAGATATAAAGAGGATAGACGCGGTGGCGATGGGAGCTAGTGGGATGACAATAGGTTTTATAAGAGACGTGGTCCATGGGGCAAAGGCATGACCATGACACTTACTCAGAGGCTTGAGCCTCGAATTAGTCACCCAGACGCAGGGGAGGGCGAATAATGCCTCGAGTGACACAGTTGGGGTGGCAGGGGTCGAGTGAAATATGTTAATCAGGGAGAGAGCAGACCGATCTTACGTGGCAAGAGAGACTGTGCTAAGATCTAGGGAAGGAGGACTGCGTAACTATATGGCAGACAGATCAACATTTTCAGCACAATGATGAATGGGGATGAGAAGGCCAGTGTGGAGTGCGGAGGGTTCTCATGAAAGCCGCTCAAAATGGCACTAGTACCACATGTAAGTAAGCAAATAAAAAATTGTGACAGTGACGACGTGATAGGAAGATATAGGAAATGTGACTAGCCCAGGGCAGAAGGGAAGATACCAAAACTGTTTGGCACACGTTTGGTCAAAGGATCGGCTTTATTGTCTCTTTGATGAGTTGTAATATGGTGCTACGAATTGCAAAACTAACTGATGATGCCGACTACGATTCCGGTGAAACGTCTGGGAATGTACCACGTCCATGGTCCCAGACTTTGGAAATAATTATGCATACAATGGACTCCGGACAAGGTTCGTTCCTCCAAATCTTCCTACCAATAGGACTGAGTTGCGAAAACAAGGTCAAACAACTTCAATACAATTAATATAGTTGACTAAAATTGTCTGAATTATCATTCCATGATCGCAAGTTGGTTAAGTGGATTTACTTTTATCACATGAAAATGTATTTTATTTGGGAATCTGCCAAATCCGCCGTCCGACGCTGGCAATTTTGCTAACTACTATAGCAGAGGACTTCGTGCAAGGTTCGTCAAACGATGTCTTCCCGACACTACGATCGGGTTGCGAATACGAGATCAAACTACATCTATAATTTATATACTATCTTTAATATCTTAGTTGTCAAATCATCTGCTGGTTTTCTGCTAGATTCTGCCTCTCAACTACTTTATTTAAGCTAAAATAATTTTCTTTCTCATGTCCATTTCATTTCCTACGCTAATGCTCTGGGTTGACTCGTGACATCTCAAAAGGTCGTGCCGCTGCTCTCGTTTCTTGGGAGCACTTCTTTTCAAGTCTTTCACGATACCTTACTCACTTGCGGCAGTTCCAGTCACAGCAGGCGAAAATGCAACAGCAGCAACACTTCCAGCCCCAGTATCAGCCATCTCATTATGCCTTGCTTTCTTCAGCTTCCACCGCAGTCAATCGAGTACATCCTGCAGGGGGTCTTGAGGCCTCTGGACTCAGCGATCTTCAGCTTGGCTCTCGTCTTCAACAGCAACAGCAACAACAAATATCAAATCAGCCGAAAGCTATTCAACCCGAAGAAGTGGAGGCCATGCTCGCCCTTCTGGATCTCACGATTCGCGTTTGCCAATTGGTGAGCTCATAGTCTATTATCTAATTATGATTGCATTGATATACAGTTATTATCTGAATGGTTTACTTTTTCCTCAAGGAGTGTGACTGCATTAGGAGGTCCTAAGGTCCTGTTTTATTGCTTTTTGAGGGCCCCATTCTTGAAGATTCCGATATTATCTTCTTGCTGTTGAGATATCTTCTCGGTTTTTTGAAACTGTGTGCGTTCTTCTCCTATCCATGTATTCTTCAGCCTAGTTTATATTCAAGCGTTTCGCTAGAATTATCATCGGAATTCTCACGAATGGGACCAAAGATCATCACGACAGGTTCCTGTGCATTTATCCTGGGACTTAGTCTTATAATGCACGCACTTCAAATGAATAGAATACCAAAGTTTATTCTCATTCACAATACTGGTCTAACTAACCATCTTGTTGATATAGGCTATATAAAGCTAAACGAAAAGGTTTATTACATCGACTTGCTTGCCCTCTTTCAAAAGTGGAAGCACTGATACTTAGACTCACCCATTATTTTTACTCTTAAAAAGATATTCTAATTTACCTGGGTACTTTCCAAATGGCATAGTTAATTTTTATTCTGTTTACTTATTAATTTTCTATTTCATATATAGATAAATTGGATTTGAAATTCCTAATTCAAAAGCTTATTCCTCAAACAGTGGAGTGAACTATTTTCCATAAATTTAAATTGTATTTATCCACTTACTATCTCTATTCCAGTAAGCTTTTTCTTTGAATAGCTTTTAAAACTGATAGAGAGGCTATCAAGGAAAATCATCACTAGTTTATTTTTAGTTCTATGAATTCATTATATATACATATATACATTTATATATATCCGTTTGCATATTAGTGTCACATATGCCTCAGGTTTTAGTGTCCTATTGACAAACAGTTTCTGTCTGACTGGTGATTGCAAAACTCCCACAACTTTTTATTCTTAATTAATCTTACTCTATCTTCTTTATTTCAGAGTGCTTCTGCTCGCACTTCTATAGTTCTAAATCCCCACTGGCAGGTCGTCCCGGTCTGCATCGGCCTTGTCACATGTCCTCTTCCTGTGCAACTCAAGGCCCGCCTTATTAATTTGCTCACAGCCTTGTTACATGGTTTTCAGTCCACCACTCCTGACTCCCTGAATCTCCTCGGTGCGCCTGGAAACATGGCGGATGTAGTTTCATGCATCTGGGACGGTCTCATCTCGTCAGAGGTTGGTCTGATTTTTTGTTCTCTGATATTGCTTTTTTGCAATATGCTATATCAATCACTATATTAGTTTGAACTCGTTCTCTCAATTTGGTCGGAGCGACAGGGAGACCTTGAGCAGCGTACCTAGTCATGTGTCCTCTTCCACAGCATTCATGTTGATTTCCAGCATTGGACCGTCGTTTTGGTGTATTTCCATACGTCTCGTCAGCATCTTGACTGATGCGCTATCCTTATCAGAAAATTTTAACTCATCGGGGTGACAAGTGAAGGTAATTCCCTTGAACAATTTTATGAAAGTAGTAACTGTACTAACGATGGAGCCTTTCACTGAGGATGCCGACCAAAATGTCCTGCCAAACGTCTGGTAATGTACCAAGTCAACGGTCCGATGCTGGAAATCGTGGATACTATGGCAGAGGAGGTAGAGGCAGGTTCCACAAGGTTATACCAATATTATACAGCTAAGGGAGACTTCGACCAAACAAAAGGCCATACTTGTTGAGCTTATTTTCATTTCGAGTAAAAGTGATGGTGAAGAGATTTAT